GCGGACTTTTCCATCTTGTAGAAGTATTTTTTAGAAATATTTTTGAAAGACTTAAAGCTTTCCAAGAAATGTTTTAGAAAAACTTTAGAAAGTTTTTATGTTATGTGGGTATATACATCAAAAAGTCATACGCTTATTTGCCAAATAAATTTATTCAAAACAAAACAAAAAGTACATAAAACGAATAAAGTAGCAACAAAAAATGTATAAAGTGGCACAACAAGAGCAACAATTTATAAATCCGTTATTAAAAATTTTTATTCAAGGAACCGTAAAAAAAGAAAAGATGATTATTTGATCGAAATCACATTCCACTCATAATTCTCATGTACACTAATTATATTGATGCTAATATTCATGAACAATTAAAAAAAAAAAAACTTGTTTATTTGATTAATTTAAAATTGTAGTTCTTGTTGCTCTATTCTATACATTGCATATCAATTATTATTTAACAACTATAAAAACTATTGTTATTTAAACGTCATCAAACCTAATTATTACAAGAAATTTATTATAAATATAAAATAATCACCACCAATCCAATAAATTAGCGTTAAAATTGTTCAAAATTCTAAAAGTCAAGTTGATCGGTTTGATTTTTGAACAGCTCAATTATTCCTCCAATTTGCAAAATAAAATAAAAAATATTTAAAATAAAATAATTTAATATTCAGAAGTTAAAAAGAAAAGTCGTTATTTGTTAGAACAATTAAAAATAATTAACATACGTGTCAAAAAAAGATATTTCTCACTCGATATCAGTCATCAGTATATGTAGCAGAAAAATGAAAATTGTATGTTCAAATCGTCAATATTTGAAAACACGAAAGAAAAGAATCACATTTGTAAATGAATACAAAGTAATCTTTATTTACACGTTTCCAGTTAAATTTCACACGGTTCGAACTGTGAATCAGCAATCATTCGTGACTCAGGATAACAATGTGAGGGTAATTTTTCTTGAAGGACGTGAAAGTCAGAAAGCTTTCGCGTCGAAAGGAAAGGAAAGGAAAGGAAAGACTCAGACGGTAGTGAAAGATGTAAATTGTAATAGAAAGAGAAAGATAGAATAAAGTGAAAATTGAAACGATTATAACTCAATTCTATTGGAAGAGATATCTTTTCTCTCTCTTTAACGCTGATCATTAAAAAGAGAAAATAAGATGGAAGGTAAACCAGAAACTATTAATAAGTAGGATAACGAAAACGAAAAGCATGAAAGACTGACTCGAAAGAGAATATAGTTAAAAAATATTCTACCAACTATTTTTAAAAATAAAATAATCTTATAAAAAGGAAGAAAACGCAATGACATGATAACTTTCAAAGTAGATCATCGTCAAACTTGATTTCTGTTCAAGAATATGTATCGATTCTAGGTTTCTCTTTACTTACAATTAATAAAACTTAAACATCTCCAAGTATTTGAAATATTTATATTTTCATTTTTTCTTAATTTTCTTTTAGAATTTTCTTTTTAAAATTTTTATAACTCGATATGAATTACGTATAATAAATCAATCAATCCTGATTTGTATTTAAATAACTCAAATATTGAAAATATGAAGGACGCTTTATAAGCTTATAAGTATTTTCTCATTTATTTATTTTCTCTTTTAATTTTTAAAATTTGAGACCAATGGCACAATGAAATTAATAATGTTAAAAGTAATAATAAAAAATTTAGGAAGGATAGAAGAACTTTTTATAGAAGAAACTAAATTCAATGCCATTCTCTAGACGTTCAAAATATTATCGAAAGTCGAAGATAAAAACATCATGGCAACATACATTTCTATAAACATACATATGTTTCCAAAGTCTTTTAAAAGCCGCATAAAAAATGTTCTTTCTCTAGGACGTCGATCGTGCTAAAGCAAAACGAGACGGACGGTGACAGGATAGGTCAAACAACATGGAGAATGTTTATTTTAAACACTTTCCTGGGTAACCGCAAACGTTCTCTACTCCTTTCCCATTCAAACGAAAGATACGAAATCGGATCGTTTCAATTATGAATGATGCGAATTAATGGAAACGATCCAATCTAACGGTTAAATATTCAAGAAGAAATGATTTATCTCTCCTTTCAGGAGTTTTAGATCATTTTCATATCGTTGTCTTACAATCAAATCTAATGATGATTACTTTCCAATACGTGAATTGTATCACATTCCTAATATAGGTTCTCTCAGAAGTCACTCTCTAATTCACTCAATAATAATTTGTGTCATTTTGTTAGATTCAATGTCACAAAGAAAATTTGTGTATTGGAAAAAAAATATTTAACACTAAACCTACCTTGCGCGGTCAAATGACCGTTTTTAAAATTTCGTTTAAAATTTCTCGCATACAACGTTACTGTATCATCATGTAGCTTATTGACTTTTCCTAAAATATACATACAACCTATTTTTCAATATTTACAACTTTTTTTATTGTTTATTTTCCGAAAACAAATTATACCATGTCTAGTCTACCACGAACGGTCATTTGACCGTTTAAAAAATTTATGGTATTTACGACTATATTCTTCGATAATCGCATTCTTGAAATTGTTTTACGAGTCTACAATGTAATTGTAGACAATCTACAATTTAATCAATGTGTCCACATTGTAGACAAATGTGCGATTAGAAT